GGCTCCTGAAAGATCCAGGCCACTCGATTCGTGTCGATGTTCTCGGCCGCCTTGGGGGATGCAGCCTTTGCGTGGTCTGTGTCCAGCTTGGCCCACATCCGCATGAAGCCCTTTGGAGGAGGGGCACGGACGGATCCACCAACGCTTTCACAGATCTCCTTTGCTTTGTCTTGAAAGAGATGGTCGACTGCATGCACCGCACTGAGCAACAGGACGATGTAGGCTGCCTCAGACATCCTGTAGTCATCCTCATCATCGTCCTGCTCTTCCAGGCCCAACCTCTCTTCTGGCATCACTATGTGCTCATCCTGCCTGGGCCTCTTTTTGATCTCGATGTCTTCACCGATGAATCCCAGCTCTTGGCCAATATTGTTTTCGACGTACTGCTTCTCATACTTGACGCCGATGCCATCGAGTTTCTTGACTGCCAAAGCCTTCAAGTCCTGGAAGCCTTCCTCGTCCTTCCTGTCTGGATCGGGCCACAGCCTCCAGTTTGCAATCAGCCATTTTACTGGCAGCTGATAAGACTTCTCGCCGTCACTGATCTTCGACATAGCAGCTTTCAGCCATGACAAAGCCTGGGTTTTACTATAGATCCCCATTCTGGTAACTTAAATAAAATCCCTTAGCAACAGCCCAGGAGCTTTCTTGCGGTCGGCGCCTTTGGGGGCGACTCCGTCCAATTCTCGGTCGGCTCCAGCATGGTTCTGCAAGTAGAGAAGGGCGTGCTTGTGATCTTCCGGCCGCTTTGGATCAGGAGGTTTCCTGGGTTCTTGTTAAAGGATTTAAGTTAAGTTACCATGATAGGGATCTAGTAAAAAATAGATAGTATGGTTTTCTGTTTTCCTATTATTTTCTATAGTAACCTATATTATAAATCCAGTATAACAAGAGCCCAGTTTCAGGCTCTTCATGCGCTCTGCAGCGTCCTGCGCCGAGCCAGCACGTGCCGGCATTAGTTTCTGCCACAAGGCGTTGCGGCCGGTCATGCTCAGCTGCTTCACATCGACGTCGTCCTGGGGCAGACACTGGTATACACAGTGATATCTTTCAAGGAGGTATGCAGCTTAGAAGAGGGCGAGACTGCTGTGGGCTGGGCTGTGCTCCGTTCATGGCAGGTGCGAGCACTTAGAGCTAGATGTCATAAGGAACAATGTGCTCTCCTCGTCATACTCGTCGCTGTCCTCCTCGTCCTCTCCCTCATCGTCTTCAGGGTCGTCCCCTCCTTCTTCGTCTTCTCCCTCTTCCTCCTCCTCCTCCGGCACTGGCTTTGCCTTGGCCTTGGCCTTGCCTTTGGCTTTGGCCGCGGCCTTGCTTTGGGCTTTGGCTTTTGCGTTGGAGGCTTGCAAGGTGAGCTCGGCAGTTTTCAGCTTCGACTCTTCCATGGGGGAGAGCTGGGTGCCAAAGAGCCAGACCCCGAAATCCGACAGCACCACCTTGCCATCGTTGTCCGAATCCATGGCGGTCAATAAGACTTTGATGGAAGCATCCGTCCACTCAGCTGCTGAACCAGCCAGGCCCCGCATCAAGGCTCCCAGCTCGACGAAGTCGATCATACCGTCGCCATCCTTGTCATACTTCTTGAAAGCCTCCGGTGCTCCGATAAATCTACACACCTGCCACTGACTGCTGTTACTGCTACTGCACGCATCAGACCGCCGGGAAGCCTCCAAGACGTGCTGGACCCTTTCGTCGCTTGCATCGGCATTCTCATCCTGAAACCAACAAGGGACTTTGCCCAAGCAGCCCACACTGTAGCACTGTTCGACCCTGCAATGCTGAGCCTGTGCCTCGTCTGCATCAAGCCCCGGCATCAGGGTGCATTGGCTTTGCGGCTCTGAGCCAAAGAAGCTGTTGGAAGTCAACATCACCTGTCATCCTTGGGCCTCAAGTACGGGGCTACAGAACGGAAGCTGTCCGCTCTCCACTGCACCTCCAAGAGCAAGTCCTTGGTCGCCACGATGCTCACCTGAGCCCAGCGGCGGATTCGTTTCCCCAGGCGGCTTGGGGGCGGAGTTAAGGGCTCGGCTCTGAGATGATGTCGCGAGATAAATGACAAGCTCGGTGCCTCCATCAAAAAGCAAGTTCTTAAACCTCTAAAATCTACAATTTCTAAGCCTCTCCACCCAATGCCCCACGCGTATTTCGCAATAACTCAACACATGTACATACAAGCTACAAGTATCTATTCATGCAGCTTATAGATTCTATACATGCGCACGCGTGGGTTGAAGAGGTGTCAGCTTGAAGGCGGCGCTCACATGTTAAAGGCGATTCAGCTGAGGCCACCTCCAGCACGATGCCATGATGAGCACACTACGCACGAAGATGTGCGGAGGACCAGCCCTTTGCCTCTTCAGCTCCGCCTGCTTCTCTGACAGCCGGCCGGGAGCCCTCGTCGGGAATTGACCAGGAGAAGAACATCGCCTTTGAAGCTCAAGCAGACTCCGCTGGCACAGGCTGAGAAGCCACGATCGTTGGCGAATTCCAGGCAGGAACTGACAGGGGGAATGGCGGAGTTGTGCCTCTGGAGGAGGAGGATCCCCTGGTCTGCCACAGGTGCGTGTAAGCAGTGTAAGCGAGCTGTCTTGCCTCAGTGGCAAGCCTGCTTTGTTTGGGGGGGGGGGGCGGGTTTGTGGAGGTATGTATGTATGTATGTATGTATGCATGCATGTATGTCTGCATCTGTACAACTGAGCATAATTATGGATGTAATTATGTGAATATGTACCTTTAAACTCATGTGTTTGCACTGCCACCCGAAGCCTGCAGAAGCTTTTCGAAGATCCATTGATGCCGCCGGCCAACCTGGCAACTCGAAGACAGCCCACCTTTTGCCTGTCAGGTGCACTCTGAAGCCTTTGTGATACCTTGTGAAAGGGAGATTTCTTTCGCCTCCGAGCAGATCAATGCCACAGGTTGAAACTGACTAGATTCTCCGACTGCTCGTGCCATTGATTTGCAGAGGCCTCACGTGGGAGGCTCTGCAAGCTGACTTCGACGCCTCCACTCACGCATGATGTTAGGGTTGAGGGCTTAGGGGTTTAGGGTTGTTTGTGTGTGTGTGTGTGGGGTGTGACATCGCAATGCGTGAGCGCCCCATCAAAGCGTCAGAATCCAGAGCTCAGCGAGATTCAGCGAGGCTCAGCCAAAGGCAGGCGGTCTTCACGCATTCGAGCACGGGCACGGCTCTCACCTGACCCGCAGGTCGCGACCTGGTGGAAGCTCAGCTCAGAAACCCTTTCTTCAGCGCCACAGGAGGACTTCAAAGGGGGCGCACAGCAAAGTCGGCGCCGCCTGGTTGCGAGTCAGAAGGTCAGGGCAACCCTTCCGCAGGCCAACTTGGCCTCATGAAGGGTGACCAGCAGCTGGACGGGGCACCCATCTGTGTAGAAGCGGGCACTTTGAAGCTGTGCTCTCTAAACCGACGGGCAATTCTGCTCGGCGGTTCAGCCTGGCGGTCCTGGACGACCGAAGCCCAATTTCGCACCGTGGCGGAGAGTCAAAGGCTCGCCTGACAGACAAACCCACGACAGGGCGGTGCCGGCGGAAACTGGAAAACGACCAGTCCTTGCTGGGCGGCAACTCCGTCGACGTGCAGAGGATTCCTCTTCTTGATCATATAGAACTTATATAAGTCTGCAATGAGCAAAGTGAGTTCGCTCTCGAAGAGCTCAGCTGCACGCGACGAGAGCTTTTGGAGCTGGAGGGGCCCACCAGGCCTCTGATAGAACAGGGCCAACATTCACTACAACAGCCCGGGGCCCCGCCTTGCATGGAGCTTGAAGTGTGCCCGCGAGATGAACAGAGCTTCCTGCCCCACTTTCGGATATTTGGGTGCAACACTTCGGTGTGCAAACGAGGTGTCCGTTTTCTGCAAGAAGCGCTCGAAGAACTCCGGCTGGTGTTGCCTTCCTGTAGAGTCATGTCGTCTCTCTCGAGTCATTGGAATCACGCTCGGGGCCTATGGTTATTTCCGCTCCTCGCGCACCTGCTCAAGCTGCAGAGTTGCTGCATCGACTTAGAGACTTAGAAGTCATGTCCGGAAGGAAGGTCATGGAGTCAGGACGCATCGCAGAGTCCCCATAGAAAGGCTTTAAATTCATCCTGAAAAAACTCCTCAAAGCTCCCGCAAACTTAGTGGGCTGGGAGGTGACCGGACAAGTGACGCAACCGGATACAGTAGAAATAATCGTCAGGAGAGACAGACCTTGCAGGAAGATGATCCATGTGTGCGGTTTCCTCATGTCTTCGCGTTCTGTCAACGGTCCGCACACCCCGAGCTCGCGCTCTACACGGACACTCCTTCGCAATGAATTTCGATCGTGCCGCTGCTGCTGCTGCTGCTGCTGCTGCTGCTGCTGCTGCTGCGGCATGTGACCATGCATAAGAAGGAGGCAAGCTGACCTCGGTTCTTGTACACTTTGGCTTCAGACCTCGGATCGCCACCTTGTGCGCTCTGCCTCTAAGTACTCACTCTACAAGGACCGGGCTCATCTTGGGGGGGGATCCCCCAATTGCGGGAAGAGTGGGAGGCGTGGTGGGTTCCAAACATTGCCCATCTTACGCTGTTACGCCAAAGTCATGAGAGCTCTGCAGTGCAAAGAGACCAGCCTGGAATCGGATGGGGGAAATCTCTTTCGTCGGAAGCTCCTGAGACGCAGCTGCTATTTTTGCCATCTCTTTTTAGAGCTTCAGCGCTTCTGAGCGGACGGCTTCAGCCTTGCTGCCAGGCCGTGGGACCTGGGATCCCAGAGGGCTCATGCTCTCCTAGGTCCCTTTTTGGCGGCTTTGGGTCCGTCTGAGGCAAAAGACGCAGGACAGGACCACTTCCAGCGGTGCCTCTCGAAAGAAAGAGACCGCAAGAGTCGCATGAGAGCAAAATCTCTCTGTACGTCACCGAGTCTCCCCCCAGTCCGCTTCGTAGAATGACTCGCCCTTGCCTCCCCACGAGGACCGGCAGCTGAAGTCCGGAGCTGCGATAAAACCTCCGTGTTATAAACAGAAAAAGGGCGCCGAAATGTCTGAGCTCTCGGCGGAATCACGCGAAAAGGTCACACCAAAACCTCGGCGATCTCTGCGAAGCTCGGCCGGGGCCGTGCTTTCGGAGATCCGAGCTCGACCTTCCAAGGGCTTAAGGCCCAAATATGTGGGTTTTTTTGCCCTTTCTATGAGAGCCGCGGACGCAGCGCAAGGCCAAAGTCGCCAGAGGCTCCAAGGCGTCAACAGGCCACCTGCAGCTGTCAAGCTTAACTTTAAGTTTTCAACTTTGAAGATCTCTCGTTGGATTCTCCGGCCGGGGGCGCCTCGCCGACGGGTCCTGGTGCTCCAGCACCCGCGCGAGAGCCCCGAAACGTGCCTCAGGCGAAGAGGCTGCAGCAGAGTTCCCCTGTCATGTGGCACGCCGAAACTCCCGGCCAGGTCACGTTCTGAACGAGCTGCAGAAGCGGGTACACCAGCTCGCCTCTCTCAAAAGGCAGCTGCTAAAACGTCAACCTCTTCCTTAGCTTGAGGCCTGTGGGCTTCTCCAGAGCGGGAGGCTTGTTGATGGCAAGCTCCAGCAAGAGAGTTCCGAAAGAATAGACCTCCGTGACTCCGTGCCATGGAAGAGTCCGCAGCGCATCTGGGTCCTTGGGACCTCTGTGTCCTCGCTCACACACTTGGTAGCGAGGTAGTTTGGACACGCGTACCTGCACGTTTTCAGCCCTTGACTGCCCGTTGCCATCAGTCAGCGAACTTCGACACAAAGGCTCACCCTGGAGTCCCACTGACACGCGTCACCTGCGTGCAAGCAGGGACAGCGAAAGCCGGTGGGGCAGCGCGAACCCCTCCGAGGCGCACCACCAGACGTGTCATCCCCCCATCCTCAGGGACCCAGCGCAGTCCAGCATCAGGCTCCAGGAAAAAAAACTCTACAAATATGGTACCCGAAACTGCCCTGGTAGGCCCCCCCTTTCAGGGATGTCAAGGAGCCGTCGCAGCACTGGTAGTGTCGTCGCCGTAAATCCATTTGACCCTGTCACCATTCCTCAGCCGCGCTACTTTGCGTGCAAGTCGGGGAGAGGACAAAGAACCCGCGAGGGGGATCCCTAAACCCGAAAAGCCGGACTGGATTTGCACGTACGAGGAAATGGACAACTCCACAGGGCCCCTGGCCCGGCGAAGAGGAGGTTCTTCGGGCGGATGTCACGGTGGAAGACCTTCTGCTTCACCATGTAGGAGAGCCCCTGCGCCGCCTTCGAAACGGCCCCCAAAGCCCCCCCCCAAAGGGCGGCTGGAAAAGGAGGCCCAGGAGGCCCGCTCTCTTCCTGGCCTGGGCCACCGCGCTGAGCCGGCGTAGCCACAGGAAGTCCTCCACCGAAGAGTTCGCAACTCCAGTCTCTTTCTTTCTGAGAGGCTTCTTGGCCGTCTGCCGCCGGGCCTTGCTCCGAAGGTGCTGCTGGAGGCTGCCGCCAGAGAGGACTTCGAAGACCAAGAAGTTCGTGCGCCTGAGCTTCACATGGAGTGGCCTCTAGGAAAGAGCTTCCTTTTGTTGCAAAGCTCCGGACTTGTGCATGGCCCATCCCTGCAGTTCTGCCAGGTTTGGGTGGCGGAGGCCTGAGTAGCGGGTCTTTTTGTAGCACTCCGGTGTGCAGATCCTTAAGAAGGCGCGGATTCCTGGGATCCCTATAAGTCCCAGGCGAGCAAGTGCCCGAAGCTCGTCCTGGAATCTGTCTCCATCTCCACCATCCTGAAGGACCTCCACTCCGGTGAGCAGCGGTCCACGGAAGATGCCGAAACACTCTGAGGATTGATCTTGGGGGGGGGCTGTTCAACGAGAGGATGGCTCCAAAACCCCGGTCTGTCCCGGAGGACCACAACCCTCTTCTTCGCGCTTGGCATGGGCCGCCCAGGTCCAACTGCAAGCCCTTCCTTAACCCCAAATAACCTACCTTGTGTAAGGACGTCTGTAAAGAATTCGTAAGAAGGAACCCTAA